CTTTTCTTATTACTCAATGTCTATGGGCCTTCAATTTCTCTCATTATGTCATAGAGACATTGTATTTTGTTATTGTAGTTTCATTTTTTTTCTTAAATACTGTCTGAATGATAACACTATCTCCAAGGTTTGAGTATCTACTACCTTCTCTAATACATCAAAAGTATTTAATTTCAGCTGTATTTTTATTTGACTCACTGTGCCTTTTGTTTTCAAGATTTATTTTCAGTTTTTTTTTCAATATCTCTATCTTATTTTGTTGAATTTCTCGTTCATATTCTGTAATGTCTTCCTTAGTTTATTCAGTTTTCCTGACTTTTCTTGGTATTCAATCCTCTTTTAAAATAGTTATTATTTTGAATTATTTATCCAGCATTTTATATACTGCAATATCTTTTGCTTGTGAGTTATTAACCTTTGGAGATTTTATTTTACCACAATTTTTCATATTTCCAGTTTTGAGGTTAGTGCATCTGTTGGGATGGATTTCTCTTCCAATTTTATGTCAAGAACTTTGTAGGGTACAATCTTTTCTTGTTGAAGTGTTTTTGGTTATCAGGTTGTTGTAAATTGTTGAATATATTTCCAGGTGTGTTTAATAGTATAGCTTTCCTGATACTTGTTTTGCAATGTATTTTAGTATCTCCCCTCCTCCCCAGTGGAGGTAACCCAACACAGTAGCTGCCCAACACAAGTGTGCAGTGTGATCAGGGAGCCACCCATGGGAGCCCCAGGATGAGCGTTTCCTCAATTGGGAACTGATAAGGGAGAGGAAGATGGGGCTAAAGTTTGGAGTCTAACAGAGAGATCAGGAACTGGAAAATCTCCAGGAGAGATAGGGAGATAGGACAGAGCACTAAAGTCATATGAGCAGTCCCAAAAGGAGACCCATGAGTTGCAGTCTCCATGCAGGGACTTGTGGGTGCCACTCCCCATTTCCAGGTGCCCTGAATCAGGACCAGGATTCCAACCCAGGTTACCTCTACCGACCCGAGAGCAGAGACACCAGCTTACAACAAACAACCCCACCTATTGAATGAGAAGAGAAATAGAAAACATATAGATTTCTAAAGCTAGCAACAAACCTGGTTTCCTCCTTCAAATTGTTGGGTTTTTGTTTTGTTTTGTTTTGTTTTGTTTTGTTTTACCCCTCTATCCTCTGGCACTCACATCTCCAACATACGTGAAACTAAGAACTTTGCATGAAATAGAATTTGAGGATTGAGTCTGAATAATATAATATAGAGGTATTGTATATTCCCTTTTTTTCTTTTCCTTTTTCTTCTTTCATTTTTCTTTTCTCCTCCAAAATTTACTATTTTAACATCTGTATTTCTAAATACATATGTGTGTTTGTTTTATGTACTCCACTGTCTTCCCAGTACTTGTCGACCCTAAATTACTTCCTCTCTATTCTCTTGCTACTAACCCTCTTCATTAGATTTTCTCTTTTGCACTTCCTAAGATATATTATCTCTATATCCTCACATCCTACCTCCTCAGCATATCATCCTACACCCTACCCCTAGTTCATTGTCCACTGTCAGAAACTGGAAACCTTTTTACAAAACTACTGATTATATTTTAGATAATAATTGAATCCAACAATTCTGGACATTGAGATTAAACTGTAAATATCTTAATAAAAACAAATTGTTCATAAGTGGCATATTGTTGATATTGGGATCTGTTAACACTGCCCTTCCCCACAAAGAAGAGGTCTTGGAGCCCTACAAGAGCACTCCAGACCCACAGAGATGGAAAGGAAGACACACAAGCAACATGAAAAGACAAGGGAAGAAAGTGCCCCCCAAAAATGAAGACACCACATCATTACAATCATTGGAAGCCACAGAAGAAGAAATTACAGAGAAGGAGTTTAGGATATGCATGGTTAAAATGTTCTGTGAACTCAAGGAAGAGAGCAATACAGGCAGTGAAAGATCACGTTGACAAATACAGGAAGCAACATGGAGAGAGAGGTCCAAAAAAAAAAAAAAAGAACAGAAATACTTGAAATGAAAGAAACAATAAACCAAATTAAAAGCTCAAATGAAAGCATCACCAGTAGAGTAGACCACTTGGAAGATAGGACATTAAACAATGAGGATAAAATATATAAAGTTGAAAAGAACATAGACCACACAGTGATAATTGTAAGAAACCATAAACAGAAAATTTAAGAAATATGGGAATAGCATAAAAAGACCAAATTTAAGAGTTATTAGTATACAGGAAGGCATACAGGTACAATCTATTCAGTGAAATAATATTAGAAAACATTCCAAACATTAAGAATAAACTGGAAGTCCAAATTCAAAAAGCCTACAAGATGCTGAATGTACAAAATCAAAACAGATCCACACTAAGTCACATTATAATGAAAATACCCAACATACAGAATAAGAAAAGAATTTAAAAAGCCACAAGAGAAAGGAATCAGATTACCTATAGGGGAAAACCAATTAGGATAATGGCAGATTTTTCAACACAGAGCTTGAAAGCTATAAGATCCTGGGAAAAAACATATATCAAGCTTAGTATATTCTAATAGTGTTGTATTGCATTGGAGCTTGAGAATTCCACTTTGTTTGAGATCTCAAAACACAGAGGTCCTTTTGGTAAGTCAGGAAATTGTGTTATATATAGAAGGGCATAGGAGTATACCCTCTGTGATTGCTTTTCTAGACTTGATAATTCTGTGTATATTAAAGGGGTATGGGAGCAATCTATTTTTAAACGATTCATAGATGTGGTATTCACAGTCTTTATGTTATTTCTCTTTGCTGTTTCTATAAGGAAATATGTTCATGAGTGAGCATTGAGTCCCTCTAGCCATTTCTGGTTGCCAATTTGGGGGTTCTCTCCTATTCTTTGTGATGTTGTGTTGCTAAAGTTTGAGTTAGGTAATATATGGAGGAAAATGTGCTCTCTCCTAAATGGGTAGAGTGTGTGGCTCAGAAGCATAATATCTACCCAATAAAGTTAAAGTGTTATACCAGATCTCTAGCATCTCACAGAAAAAGAAAAATAAATAACAGCAACAATAGTAGCAAACAATACATACATAGCATTAAAATGAATACCAGATGCCAACTGATATTTTCAGCACTAATAGCCACAAAACAGAAATAGTGGGGTCAAAAGTTAGCAACAGCAAAAATTACAATCAGCCACTAATGGAAATACCAGGTGTAAACTATGACTTCCAAAATAATAATAACTGTAACAATATGAATGGTGTGGGAATAAATTACATAAAATAGTGTTAAAATATGGGAAAATTTTGGTTCATTAAGAGAAAAAATGGAAAAAGTGAAAAGAAAGATTGGAATATTATAAAGGACAGAAATAAAGCAGAATAGAGGGATAAAGTGAAGCCCAAAAGAAAGAGGCAAATATTTTTAAAAAATGAAATAAAGTGGAGAGAAAGAGGGATGGGGGTACATAGTGAGAAAGAGAGAGAAGAGAGAGGGAGAACAGAAAATTTTTAGTATTAGAAGGAGAATATAGGAGAGAAAGTCACATAGAAAAAAGAAAAGAAAAGAAAGAGAAAAAACCTCACTAACCCTAAAAAACCAAAATAATAAAAAAGAATCTGATAAAAAATGAAAAAGATAATGTATATACATACATACATTCACACATACTTATGTATACATACAAACCAAACTGAAAATACAACTGGAAGAACAAAAAGTTTGTTAACAATGAATGAAAGAATTATCTTCATTGTGGTGGTTGAAACTGAACAAGAATGCATATTTACTACAAATGCCAGACTACTCTTCCTTCCATTTCTTCCTGGGGTATGTGCATCTTATAGCAAAGATTTGGGGATTATTAACCCTTTCTCCTTTTTCTTAATTGAAATACCTGGAATCAAATATGGAGTGGTCTGACTCAAAGCTCATTGAAATGACTCTTTTGTTTTCAGTTCATCACTACAAGGTAGTATGTATGAGAAATACCATCTGTTGGAATATTGTCTAGAAAGTCTAGGTCAATGTATGCTTTGGGCAGAGATGAGGCAAAGATCTAAATGGAAAGTTCCCACAGTCGGGATCTATCCATTATTTGTCATATTCTGGAGATACTAGTAAAAGAAACCAATAAGACCAGGTAGATGGCAATCTATTCTGGTTGTCCCAATCCCAGACACTTCTTGATAATTTCACTCAGAGGGTAACCAAGTTCCCTGGGTGGAGGGGGCACAGCAGGTCACAGCACACTTCACCACACAGGACTATGGCATTCCAAGGCTCAATCCTTGAATTGTAATCATGCCTGCCTATTTGGCTTCCTAAATATCTTCAGCTGATTAAATGAGTTGCCAGACTCCATTGGAAAGTAAGTTGCACTCCTCTCTGTATCCCTGAACTGAATTCCCCTAGGTGAAATCTTCTGTGTAGCTATTTCAACAGCATGTATTCTAGACCTTATGATAGATTCCATTCAGGATTCTGTGTCAATATTTTCTAATGGTTCCTGTAGCAAAGGTTTTCCCCACATCTAGTATGACTTCCATGAGTTGGCTTCACACTTTTCCCAACTTGAGAAACACAGAGCACTTTTCAATCACCAACTCCAAGTGTAGACTCAGAGTAAGCTAATTTCAGGCTTTCTTTCTATTCTATGGGTACCTCCATGCCATTTTTTCTGATTTTTTAAAATCTTTTTGTGACACCCCTCCCCTGTGTCGTGTAGACACCACTGTCATGGCACTGATGTACTCTTTCATATTCTATTTGAAATATCAGTACTTCTGGGCCTCTCCAAATCTCTGACTGTCCAGTATTGAATTTTAGTGAATTCCCTCAATATCTACCTCACTGAGACACAGTATTTCCATTGATTCAATTCAAAGCCACAGAAAAACTGGAAGGTGCAACCTTTCTCTACTCTACCATATTTGTCCCTCATGGCCAATATTTTTTGAAAAGAGGAATGCAATTACATCTTAAACATTTTGAAGTTACTAAACACCACATGGAACTTACCTGAAAAAGCACAAGCAGCAGGTTCTCATAATCACTTTGGGTGCATGGAACAATTGAAAAATTGATGGTTTGACCTGGACTGCATCCAACTCCTTCTGTATGGTGGATTTCACAAACTTAAACAACAAAAACAATAAGCATTTATAATATGTCAATAATGGGCTGATATAGTGGTAAGTACTAGAGGATGAGATAAATATGCTCATTATCTTTGAAACCTCTGACTCATTGGGGATATGGATGCTAAATGATCTACCTCATGTAGGGAGAGCTACAATGGGATTAGGGAAAATGAAAACTATCTATGAATAAAGCCAGTTTAAAGACTTAGTTTATGAGAGGTAAAAAGGATTAACCAAAAGATTTTCACTGTAAATTGAAAACAATGAAAAGTTACTTGTTTAATGATTTGGACTTTCTTCCCTATTCACTGGAAATGAGACTTTTCCCTCATTGTTAGAATTAAAGTTTATCTATGTAAATCAATGATTTTTATAAAGCTAGGTCCACTTTATGATTTGGTTCCAATTATACATTTTCTAGGTATTGTAGGCATGCTGCTTCCACTCATGATTGGAGTGTAGAGAGTTACAAGAGTGTAAAAAAGTAGGGTATCTGTCAAAAGGAGTATGATTTACACCCAGGCCAGATGTTATAGCAGATTAAATTTGGTGAAATTCCAAGTGAAATATAATAGTTGCAAAAACATTTGGTTTCAGAGTTAGAAATTTTAGGCCTGACACTACTGTTACTTTATATACTAAATGTTCTATTCTGATGTTCTATGGTACAGCAGGTATCTATTGAAAATGATAACATATTGTGTATTTCCAGAAATGCTAGAATAAAGAATTTTGAATGTTCTCAGTACAAAGAATAAATATTTGAGATGATAGATATCCTTACTCCAAGTTGAACATTACACAATGTATCCTTGAATCAGAATGTAACATAATATCACCAAGTGTGTAAATTTATTACACATCAGTTAAAAAGTGAATGTAACCCATCACTTCTTACTGGAGTTATTAAAGATTACTCAATGTCACAATATAAGTATCAGCACAAGAGAAGGCACTTAATAATTTTCAAAATAGTAATACATTATTTCTGATAATAAAAATACAGTGAGCTGTGCATAGTGGCACATGCCTGTAATCCCAGCAGCTCAAGAGCCAGTGGTCGGAGAGTTGCAAGTTCAATGCCAGCCTCAGCAACTTGGTGAGACACTAAGCAACTTACCTAGACCCTGTCTCAAAATAAAATATAAAAAGGGCCTGGGATGTGGCTCAGTGGTTAAGTTCCCTGACTTCAATCCCTGGTGCAGAACAAATCAACTCCCCCAAAGCAGGCCAAAACAAACAAAAACAATCAAGTGAACAAAACAAAACAAAAAAAACACCCTCCCCGCAACAACAACAACAAAAAACTATAGTGACTTAGCACAGGATACCACAGACAATTGTTTTTCCCTGAGCACCAGTAAATAAATATTTTAGGCCATACAGGCAATGATTTTTATTTCAATGGCTTGATTATGATGCTGTAGCACAAAACAGTCATTCATAATAAAAGATGAAGTGGGTTTGGCTATGTTCCAATATTTTATTTACAATAATCTCTGGTTAGTGGATGCTGTTATATCCTACTCACGTGTCTTATTCACTTCTCCAGTTTCTGGGAGTGTTGATGGTTGCTTTTTGTGGCCCCACTGGGAATTTCCCTTAAAGAAAATCTTCTCACCCAATGCCATACCCTTGTCCTTATCCAATAACTAAAGAATTCAAGCATATTAAAATCATGCTTCCTTGCTTCAAGGCAGAGGAATTCTCATGGGCAATCCTAGTTCTAGTATTTCTTTCAAGATCTCCTGGGTTCTCTATTACAACTGCATTATACTCTGACTTTTATTTCTGCCTAATTCCATTTTTTCTCCTCACAGATAATGTCCTGAAAAAACACCTCAATAAACATTCTGCACACAAATTTCAGATTTCCCAGTTTCTGGGAAAGCAGAAGTATAATACTTGTAATTGTATGGTAGTAGTCAAATAAATTGATGCTATAATGAGAATCTAGAACTAGATCATCCAATAAATATCCCATAGTGGTGTTAGCTGATACATGCAGTTGTAATTCAGGTATTAAAATTTTCACTGGTGGTAAACTGGGATGGGTTGTTTATGATCACAGGATTTCAAAAGTTTTTAACAAAGGAATAATTGTTAGGACTTTAGAATTCAGTAGCTCTTGTAAAGTGCCATGAATGCATTTAAGAAAGACAATGGAAGACTAGTAGTGATTGACTACCAATCTAAAGTAGAATGTGAAAACCAGAAGATTTATATAAAGAGAGTGTATAAGGAGACCTTCATCTTCCACAAGTAGAGGACAGAAAAATCTGAAGACCAAGACCCAGGACTAACTCTTAAAAATAATGTCAATAAAATTTGAAGATATGAACCTTGTATTGTTTCTGTGTGAAAGGACCTGGCCTTAATTGAGAAATAGAACTTATTTGGGGATGGTTATACCTGAGTTGAGGCATTTGATCCTTTTGAATCTCTTCATTCCTTAGTACTACTTGGCATGAAAAAATATTGACCCCTCCTCCCTGCTAAAATCTAGTGCTACTGCCTGGTTTAAAGATAGTGCAGAGGTTTATGATTGCAAGAAAATGCATAATTTCCTTGCCATGATTTATTACTATTTTCCTCCTACCAGATGACTAAAAGAAAATATAATCTGTTTGGGAGATGTTTTGTCTACTGAGAGGAAAAGTGCCTGTATGCTCAAAGTGCTCAAGTAGCAAGCTAAAATCATCAGCTTGAGAGCACACATGGGGAATAATTTTTTAATTTCAAAATTTTATTGGTGCAAATAGAAATCATACAGAATAATGGGTTTATTATGGCTTATTCCTACATGCACATAACATAATTTGGTTAATTTCATTTCCAAGTAACACCCCATTAAACTCTATTTCCTCCCCCTTATAATTTTCTTTACTCTTAAGTCTTATTCAATTTTCATGAGAATCTCCTTTTTTCCTTTTTTCTATCCAACTTCCACATATGAGAGAAAACATATGACCTTGAATTTATAAGTCTGGATTATTTCACTTAACATAATGATCTCACATTGTATCTATTTTTTTGGCAAATGACAAAATTTTATTCTTCTTTATGGTGAATACAACTCTGTTGTGTATAAATATAGCATTGTCTTTATCCCTTCATCTATTGATGAATACCTGCTCCATAAGTTGGCTCTTGTGATTTCTTCTGTCATAGACATTTCTGTGAATGTATATCTAGTGTAGGCTGATATTAAGTCTTTTGGATAAATACTGAATTACTCACTCTTATACCTGGCAATATGGTGGTTCTATTTCTAGTTTAAAGGAATCTCTATTCTGATTTCCATAGTGACTGTAGTAATTTACATTTTTGCCGAGTTCAAATATTAGAGTTCCAATCCCCCAGCATCTTCTCCAGCATTAATTGTAATTTTTCTTATTACAACTCTATTGTATAATATTAAATCAGATATTGTGATATATCAGTGATATTTTATTGGTTCAAAATTGTTTGGCTATTGTGGGTCTTCTGTTTTTCCATAAGAATTCTAGGACCCTTTTTTTTCTTTTTTCTTTTTTTAGACCAGTGAAGAGTTGATATATTGATGGGTATTGCATTGAATGTGCAGATCATGTTGGGTCATATGGTGACTTTTTCAATATAACTCTACCTATGAAGAAAATATTCTAAGTTTAAGGTGGTCAGCTAGATATTAGACAGAAACACTGCACCTCATAGAAAAAAAATGTAGGCACAACACTCCATATTTGCTTAGGAACAGACTTCATTAACAAAATTCCTAAAGTACAAGAAGTGAAATAAAAACTCAAAAGACTGCATGGTATAAAACTAAAAGCTTCTTTCCAGCAGAGAAAATAATCAAGAGTGTGAAGAGAGAGCTTTGAGAATGGGAGAAAATTTTTACAACCCACACTTCAGATAGGGCATTAATTTCCAGGATATAAAAAGAACTCAAAAGGCTTAATACCAACACCAT